CACAGCGATAAACACAGCTGCAGCTATATCAATCTACTATGCCCACCCTGGTCTCTGACCCACAGCCCTGTGTGTGTCAAACCCAGACCATGTAGGAGCAGAAGACGGAGAATATAGCACTCCCCAGACACTGGGTGCTGCTTTAGGGCAGAAGGTGGCTTGGACAATCCTTCAAAATAGCCTTGAACAGCACACGCCCCTCCCAGGAGATTTGGCAGGCTCCCCAGGGCCTCCTGCAAGCTTCTCTGTCTCCTGACTCTGAGTTTTACACTTTCTTGCTTTGGTTCCTCCTATCACACGTGAAGGAATCCATCTTTCCTTGATTGGTTGCTTGTTGGAGAACCACAGAGTGTCCAACAGACTCAAGCACAAGGAATCATATTTACCTGTGGCCACGGGGTTCTCAATTACAAATCCCAGATGCTCGCAGAATATATATATATATACATATATATGTGTGTATATATATATATATATATATATATATATATATATATATATGAAGTTTTTTGGCTCATGTAACTAACAAGTTCAGGGGTATCGTCATCTCCAGAGCTTGAATGAGGCACCCCACTTCACCTCTTTCCATCCCTCTCCCCATTTCCACTTTTCTTGGCTAAACATAGGCAAATGCTTCCCTGCAGCTCCTCACTTCCCCCACACTGGGAAGGAAGTCCCAGTGACCCTACCCCATGCCTCATGACAACAGTATCTAGAGAACAAGGTTTTTCTCTCTCAGCGGGTTTCAATCCTTCAGGAACTGAAATCCATTTACATAGATGCTGGGCTTGGGCTTTTTGCCTGCTGTGAACTGGCTCCCGTGCCTGCGGGAAAGGCCTCACCTCAGAGTCTGAGCTTAGTCAGTGAGAAGCTGTTCCCTCAAATGATAACAAGGGTGCTGTTTCCAAAGAGGAAGATGCTGACTGGCAAAGGGGAAGATAACAATTGTGCCCCCAAAGCCGGGCGCTGCAGTGTCTCTTCTGCATACCTCCTTCTTTTGAGCCACACAATCTCCGTGGCCTCCGCCACCATATAACACACACACACACACACACACACATCTCAGAGTCTGTTCCTTTCCTCTTCAGTCACAGGTAGCCCATAACGATGTCTTGTTTTACACCCAGTCCCAAGATGAGGGACCTCTCAGTGAGCTCTATGTATACAACTTCATAGCTGGACAGCCTACACGCTAAATGATGAATGTGAGCGTCACCAACACACCTGGCACACGAGAGTGAGAAGACAGAGCAATATTATCATGCTGCCTTCAACCAGATCCACTGTCTTTTAGTTATGACTTATTACCTATAATTCTTTGCATCATCTGGTTCCGAGCCAGTCCTTGTGCATAGGTGCTGTGTGTCTATGTATCTCCACCGGTGGCTAATGATCTTTTTTTTTTTTTTTTTTGAGACAGGGTTTCTCTGTGGTTTTGGAGCCTGTCCTGGAACTAGCTCTTGTAGACCAGACTGACCTTGAACTCACAGAGATCTGCCTGCCTCTGCCTCTGCTAGGATTAAAGGTGTGCACCACCACCACCCGGCCTAGTGATCTTATTCTGCTGCAGGAATACCTTCCTTGCCCAGAAGAAGCTTGCTACCTCCCACCCTGCAGGAATGCAAGTCTAACCCACACCCCTCTCTGATTTCACTCCAATCTTTCTTACCAGTCACATCACCTGACAAGGAACTCATGTGCTCTAGCCCTTCAAGGCACAGCATCACCTGACTTCAGCACCCAAAGGCAAAGGGGGTGGGCCTCTTACATGCAAACATTTTTCCAGGTAGCCCCGTTTTGACAGAAGCTAGACTCTTGCCCCCAGAACCTGAGTTTCAGGAAGTAGCTCGTGTTCTGCACAGCCTGGAAAGTTCCACCAAGCACTTCAGCAATCCTACCTTAGTCTACCCTGGCTGAAGAGCCCAGGATGGGACAGGAAATGACTTAACTAGCTGCTTTATAAGAATATAACATGGCTGCGGTCTTCTTAGCCCAGGATGGAATTCCTTGAGTCAACCAGTTCCGATTTTAGAATCTGTTACATCTCCCTACTTGTTTCTGATTCCTAGCAGGAAGCAAAGAGGCTGCAGCTACGCCACATCAGACCACTGGACCACCTGGCATGAGTCTGTCTGCCACCGCTGCCTTCGGGCTCCTGGGTCTTCATCTGGACCCATGTTTCTCATTCGCTCGTGGTTCTTTCCTTTCTGCTGGTTTCATCTGATCATTTATTCATCCAGGCAGGCAAACTAGAGCACCAGAGCTCCAGGCTGGCCAGTCATCTCCTCAGACACCATGGAGTAAGGAGAACTTATTCCCGGTATTTCAAACAGGAGCCCTGAAATTGATCCCATGGGTCTGACTCATGTCATTTGTCTACCTTGGAACGATGAAGATAGAGTCCCCTCCACGCCCAAAGGAACACAAAGTCTACTTCTGAAGAAGGTATGGCAGGTGGGCAGGTAGAAACCAAAGATGTCTCAACAGTCATTGATGACTCAGAAGCATCTCAAGAATTTGTACACCACTCTCTGCCCATCCCTTTCTCCTCCTCGTGACTCTTGACAGAATCTCACCTTTGTGTGCTTAGCTGCTTACCTGGTCCTTACTTATCTCACCCAGTCATCCTTTCCATCCTCCAGATTATTTCCTTGGTAGATTCATAACAGGTCCCAGGCTATTAGATGGAGGAGAAGTCTGGGGAGGTGATTTTCTTTACTAAGAGCAAGGAAAGTGTACAAAGCCTGCTGCTGCCCAGACAACTCTGAACTCGCTCCCAGTTCTTGTGCCTGGGTTTAGACGTATGCGATGCAAAGGTTGGAGCTGCCGCCATTTTATGAGCAGTGTGGGGAAAGCCGAGATAACGGCAAAAGACGTTAGCTTAGAATTCTGGCAAAATCAAACAACACAAGCAGCTCTGCCCTTGCTTATCCACTGGATGTCTGTTTCTTTCATCTGGACACACCCTACCTCTTCGACAGCCGTTCTCCACAAACACACGTCTCCTCACAGAGAGCAGCAAGCGAGAAACAGTCTGCGCTCTGTCCATCTTCCTTTGCTAAGGCAAGCACATCTGACCCTCCACCGTCCCACAGGCCTAAGAAAGGGCACAAACCTGGATGGTCTTCCCGCTTCGGACTCTGTCACCCTTGTCGCTCACCGTTAGACTGGTAACACGAAACAATGATTGTGGAGGCTGAGAAGCCCCAAGGGCCAGGGGAGGTGATGGTCAGAGCCAACTCTGCTGTAAAGCTCCCCACAGCTAGCTTGTGCATTCATTTCCTGGGTGAACAAACCTTACACCCCCAAGTACCGCTCACAAGCAAGCATCCCTGAGCTGTCCAGACTGCAAGTGCAGTAGGGATCCGTAATCAAGCTGACCAGCCCATTCTCATAGTAACAACTAAGCAGCGCTTTTCTCTGAACCCACTCCCCAGACCCATGGTCCAGGTTTATCTTCTCAGTGATGTCCACAGTGTTCATCATCCACAGCAAAGACTTGCTGAGCAGACATCCACTTTCCCTTAGAGAAAACGGTTGAGAGAGACAAGGCACTGAATGTCAGTCTACAGGGAGGGGTAAATAAGCCTGGTGAGACAAGACAAGCCCTGGTTTGTCCACAGAAACACTGCACACACTATGTAGAAGTGGCCTGGTTTATGAGACCACTCAGCACGAAGCTCCCAAGTCCACGACTCCTGCACCCAAGTCCACAACTCCTGTACCAGAGCCAACACCCTGCGGGCAGCCTTTCTCTGAGATCCACACAGCAGCACACTTCTCCACAGCAGCTCATGTCTGCAGGGCTCATGGATGTTCCACCAGCACACCAACCTCCATCAGGTCAGGAGAGCAGACTAGACAGAGATGGGGGGCAGCATTAGAGACTATGAAATAGAGAAATCAAACATCCTGCAGCCAGTACAGCCTGGCTGTCACTACACACAGGTCCTCTGAAGCATCCCCACACCACCCGAAATTATCCTTCACTCTCTCAACAATGAGGAAGAAGCACGGCTGGGGGCGGGGAGAGCGCCATTCTGTTTTATGCCAATGACTCCTGAGTAAATGAGACAAGGCCCAGGGAGGCCTCGTGATGGCACCGCCTGGAGACAGAGTGTCTGGCAGTGAAGACACAGTGCAGAGGGTAGGGAAACGTACCGCAAAGTTTGCAATCCGCCCCCATCTGCTCTGTGCTGCTCCATCCGTGCAAGTACTGAACGGCTTGTCTGCCCTTGCCAAACAGACCCATGTGGAGACCAGGCTGTCTGGAAAAGTCTATAGATAGAAGGAGGGTCAGTCTCGCTGTCTGGGGTCTCACTGACCTGGCACAATCCAACCCAAAGGCAGAATGCCCGTTGACCTACACGTTAGCACTTTCATGCTGAGATCTCAGGGTTCCAGTCTCCAGTCCTGTGCTCCCCAAGTTCACAGTCTCATGGGAAGCCCACAGATTGACCAAATGTAGTTGACTATGAAGTTAGAAAGGCAAACTGAGGCTAGACTGTGAAGGGCCTCGCACACCAAGCCAAAGGGCTTAGGACAGATCTCTTCATCCATGGCTTCTATTTTGATGGTTACACTTGATCCAGACACATAGGAAGAAAACATTAAAATTTCTGTATTTCTGGGCTGGAGAGACGGCTCAGTGGTTAAGAGCACTGATTGTGCTTCCAAAGGATCTGAGTTCAATACCCAGCACCCACATAGTGGCTCACAGCTGTCTGTGACTCCAGTTCCAGGGGACCTGACACCCATGCACATAAGATAAAAATAAATAATTTTTTTAATTTTATTTATTATGTATATAGCATTTTGGGCACCAGATCTCATTATAGATCGGTGTGAGCCATTATGTGGTTGCTGGGAATTGAACTCAGGACCTCCAGAACAGCAGTCAGTTCTCTTAACCTCTGAGCCATCTCTCCAGCCCTAGATAATTTTTTTTTAAAAATTATGTATTTCTATGCAACTAAATGCGTAACAAATTAGATAGTTCAGTGCTCACTTCAGCAGCACATATACTAAAATTAGAATGACACAGAGATTAACGTGGCCCCTGCACGAGGATAACACGGAAATTCATGAAGCGTTCCATATTTTTGTGTTTTGTTTCATTAAGGAAAAACTCTTTTAAGAGGAAAAAAACAAATTAGACAGTTCAGTCTAGGAAATTCCAGGCTGATGTGCAGATTGGAAGTTGCTTCATGTGTTGCAGAGAGCTTAGGTTGTTCCTATGCAAGACTGGAAGAGCATCGGAAACCACAAAGGAGCTGGTAAGACAGCTGGGGAGTGTGGAAGGATGAACACACAGGTGCAGCAGAGGAGTGGACAGCATCCGCCCCGGCCATGGCTCCCCAGCAGGAATAAAAGCAAACCAAGAGTCCCTGGTGAACAGAAACTGGCAGTCCTACTCATAGGACAAAGCCATGGCTCTCACAACCCTCTAATTCCATGGAGGGATTTGGGGAGACAGAGCACCTCCTGCGAGGTCGCTTTCCACCTGCGGTGTCTCAGGTAGCTATACTTAGAGAACATCCTGAGAGGGGGCCTGATCACAAAATCTAATGGATCACAAGATCTAATGGATCAGAAGATCTAATCAATCATAAACCTGGGGGCCTAGGAACAAACTGACACAGCCTCTGGGTGAGACAGCTGAGCAGACAATTGTGGAGAGGAAGGCTGGATGCAAACATGCCAAGAAGTTCAGGTAGCAGGTTACACGTAGACAGAAGGCTGCTGACCAGAAACCTTGCCCTTTGTGGCTGGGTAACCTGGTAAGCCCCAGCATGAGCTTAGCAGGTACTCCACACTTGGAGCCACCGCCCACTGCGGCTCACTTCCAGCTAGACTGAGAACCTGACACTCCCCCAGAGCCCTTGACTTCTGCAGTCTTCTTCCTCCCATGGATGCCTAACGATGCCTGGGGTTGGAAATCACTTGCAGTTAGTTCTCCTGTATGGATCTCAACACTTTAGTTCATTTCCCCGGTCCCCAAAGCACTCAGAGACACCATTAGCCAACCTGGTGCATATGAACTGATGTGGGGGGGTGACTCTAGAGCATGGGAGCATGGGAGAACCCACCTCATCATAGGATGCAAAGCTAAGTGTGGCCAACAGAGGCTCCTGGGGTGAAAAGAAGGGAAGTCGCTAGAGGAAACACAGCCCTTAAGGACTTTTGGTACTTAGCCAAGCTTGGCTGAGCACCAACCTAAATGGTAGGAAAGACAAGAGACTTCAACTTCCACTGAAGCCCACTCCCCATCCACCTGGAAGACCTAAGAAGATACTCTGTCTTATTTTTATTTTCCTTTTTTTTTTTTTTTTGCCTTTGTGTTTCCCCCTTTCCCCTTTAGTAAACTTTGGTTGTTATTTTTATTTGCTTTTTTAAAAGACTTTGCTTTTAATCATCTTAAATTTTATCTAATGTTTGTGTATTTTTCTTCTTTATTGCACCATCAGAACTTTTTATCTATTTGGTGTTATTGCTGTAACCACTGCTTATCTTTCTTCTTTCTTTTTTTTTCAAGTTTGTAATTATAATTAATGTACAGAAAACTTAGCGGTTTAGTGGTGAGTCTTTTGACTTTTGCCTTTTTCAGCTTGGCATTTTGAGCCGCAGATTTAGGATCCAGGACGTTGCCTAGCTGGGTGGATCTCATCATATCTGCCCTTGTAATTGGTCCTAAAACAGTTTCCACCAGCTTAGGCAGCCACACCCTTGTCTTCCAAGTCAACCTTTGTGAAGGCAGCAGCACTGCAGGTCTTCCTGTGGACCAGCTGCCCAGCCTGGCCTTCCCCTTGATTATGCACTAGGGGAACCCCCTCTTCTGACACAGACCAGGCAGGAAGACCACCGGCTCAATGGGGTCTGCATTGTGGGCAATCGCCACCAACTGAGCCTTCTTGTTCTCCACCAAGATGGTGATTGTATTGACCCCCACTTGAAGGACAAGTGGTCTCCTAGTTGGGACATCCCCTTTGCCAGCAGCCTCTGCCTCCCCTGCTTTGTCTCTGGCCTGTACTTGCGGGCAGGCTTAAGCAGCTGAGTAGCTGTTTGCCAGTCCAGGGCCTGGGTGAACTGGTTAGTGGCAGGAGGAACTTTGAGCCGCTTATAGAGGATGGCCCTTTGCCGCTGCAGCCTAATGTAGCAGGGTCATCTGACAAAGCACATGAGATCTCTTTGGCGCTGAATGTCCTCCCCAATGCCAAAGTTCTTAGGCCTTTTCTCAAACAAAGGATTTACCACCTTTTTGGCCTCCTGTTTCTTCACAATGGCGGGGACCTTTTCCCCTTGACCTTCTTTCCTTGGAGCATCATGCTCAGCTGGATGAGCTGTTTTCTTCTTTATAACTTGTATTATGAGTTGACCCCCAAGAAAAGCCTGCTCATCCTCTGTATATACTTATGGTTGTGTAGCTTGGTATTCTTGTGGGACTCCCAACAATAGGAGTGGGACATGTCTCTGACTCTTTGCCTGCACTAGGGACAGTTTTCCTCCTACTGGTTGCCTCATCTAGCCTTGATATGAGAGTTTGTGCCTAGTCTTATCGTAATGTGGTATGCTACATTTAGTGGCTATCCCTGGAGGCCTGCTTTTTTCTTTAAGGGAAATGGAAAGAGCAGATCTGGGGGAGGAAGAAGGTGGGGGAGGAGCTGAGAAGAGCGGAGGGAGGGGAAACTGTGATGGGGTGTCATGTATGAGAGAATTTAAAAATTAATTTAAAAAAGAATTTAACTTAGTTCTAAACAAAAACGAGAAGTCTTCCCACTGAAAATATCCTCAAATAAACTAGAAAAAAATGGCTATGCCAACAGATACACAAATCACAAACAGAAACTGAAGAAACATGAAAGAATAAGGCAACACTATGCCTTCCGAAGCTCAGATGCCAACACTATACCTTACAAAGCTCAGACCCCAACACTATACCTTACAAAGCTCAGACCCCAACACTATACCTTACAAAGCTCAGACCCCAACACTATACCTTACAAAGCTCAGACCCCAACACTATACCTTACAAACTCAGACCCCAACACTATACCTTACAAAGCTCAGACCCCAACACTATACCTTACAAAGCTCAGACCCCAACACTATACCTTACAAAGCTCAGACCCCAACACTATACCTTCCGAAGCTCAGATCCCAACACTATGCCTTCCGAAGCTCAGACCCCAACACTATACCTTACAAAGCTCAGACCCCAACACTATACCTTACAAAGCTCAGACCCCAACACTATACCTTCCGAAGCTCAGATCCCAACACTATGCCTTCCGAAGCTCAGACCCCAACACTATACCTTACAAAGCTCAGATCCCCAAATACTGAAACAGATATACTGAAGGGGATGGCATGCCAAACAAAGAATTCAAAAGACTACTTTAAAAATGATCAAAGACTTTAGGGTTGGAGAGATGGCTCAGTGATTAAAAGCACTTCCTTCTGGGCATCATATTGAGATAGAAGCCATTCAGGGATACACAGAAAGACTAGCCATAAAAAATATATATATTGAAAAGCAAAGACATATCAAGACAGAATAAACTAAAGGAATTCATGGCCACCAAACCAGCATTACAGAAGATACTAGGAGGAATCCTACACACAGAGGAGGAAAGAAACGTCTCAATTATGAGAGCACAGGAAAGAATAAATGTCATGAAAGGAATATGTGAATAAATAAGAACTAGACAGGAATAATTATGTCTAACTCAGTAAATAAAATTCATAATATGAATAAAAGAGAAATAAAATAACCATATATGAATCAGGAAATAACTAACCAAAATTCCAGGATCAGCAAGCCCTTGTCAATCACAGCCCTACATGTAAATAGGGTTAGTACACCAGCTAAAAGATACTATCTGACTAGATTAAGAAGCAAAACCTGCCAGGCGGTAATGGTGCTCGCCTTTAATCCCAGCACTTGGGAGGCAGCAGTAGACAGATCTCTATGAGGTCAGGGCCAGCCCGGTCTATAAAGTGAGTTTCAGGACAACCAAGGCTACACGGGAAACACTGTCTCAAAAAATTTTTTAAAATAAAATAAAAAGAAGCAAAATCTGGGAACAAATGAGATGTCTCAGTGGTAAGAGCACTAGCTGCTCTTTTTTTAATTGTTTGTTTATTAATTATGTATACAATATTCTGTCTGTGTGTCTGCCTGCAGGCCAGAAGAGGGCATCAGATCTCGTTACAGATGGTTGTGAGACACCATGTGGTTGCTGGGTATTGAACTCAGGACCTTTGGAAGAACAGGCAATGCTCTTAACCGCTGAGCCATCTCTCCAGCCCTTGTAGAGGACTGGGGTTTAGTTCCCAGCACCCACAGAGCAGCTCACATTCATCTGTAACTCCAGTTGCAGAGGATCTAACACCCTTTTCTGGCCTCCTCAGGCACTGCATATAGACATATATTCAGGCAAAGCATCTAAATGCAAAAACTAAAAATAAATGTTTTTAATAAAAATAAATAAAAACTCCTCTTCCCAGGAGAAAGCGCCACACCACAGAATCAGCCTGATCTGCTGTAGCACACAGGTGTCAGGGATGCTCTTCCCCCCTTCTGTGCCTTCAGAATTTCATTTTGTATCTTTCTAAGCATGGAAGGTAGGAAATAAGCCTTGGGTCTGGAAGAAATTATATTAAATTTCATGCTTATCTTCATTAACTAATACTAGATCAATAAACTCTACCTTCAGAATATGTTGTGGGAGGTCCTCCCGTTCCTCCACCCTATAGCTGCAGAGATACCAGCCCACTGGGGCGTGGTCTCTCTCTTTAAAAAAGCGGCCACTTCCCTCTCCTCTCTCTCTTCACTTCCTGCTCCACCGGCGACTAGACTCCCTTCCTGGTTGCTCAGAGGGCTGACGGTGATCTGTAAGTTTTTTCCCCTTTAAATAAATACCACCCTATTAATCATAATTCCAAACTGGTGTGGCATTGTTTATGACTTACGCCTTCAAGAATATTAAATAAATAAACCACATTCATCAACAGCTAGATCATCCAAACCAAAGAATCTACAAGCTTCGGAGTTTGACTACAACAGAGACCAAACAGACAACAGGAATCTGTAAAACATGCCCA